AACCTACTTTTAGTTTGTACCTATAGGATACAGCTATGAGATAGATGTGTTTTCAATACACAAACAGATTTTAAGTCCCATTCTTTATAATATGGTTTGCATAAAACTTCTTTAATAGCCTGTTTTAAATAAACCAAATTTAGTGGGCTTTAATTATGTCATTGGTTCAGATAAACATCTTCTTAAAGAATAGACTGTCAACTGAAAATTGGACTCTTGAGCAAACTGTATGCAGAGTACACAGTATTTTTGTCACTGTCTTGTTCTTTTGTGTGTGTGCTCTAGGGGTCAATGTTCCTGAAATCCCTTGTATCCCTATGCTAAGGCACCTGTACATGAAGTGGGTGAGACTCACAAAACCACAGCCGTTTAAAGACTTCCTTTGCATCAGCTTGCGAACTTTTGTCATGAGGAACTGTGCAGGTAATACTGTATGCAGTTACAGTTGAATGAAGCGTGTACTTGGAAAAATGTCCTTGCACAGTCTGCATTTGTATTGTAAATTATGTTATTACTATCTATGTTTTTTGACTTGTGAATGCAGTATTTGTTTTGTTTTGTGGACAGTAGAAATGTAATCAACCTTAGCAAACAAGACAAAACCAAAAACAAAAATCAACAGACTAGCTGAGTGTTTTATATAAGCTCAGATTTTAGTTCACTGGCTTATTTTAATAGATTTCAGTCTTTTTAGTCTCTGATTTTCTAAACATTAACAACAGTTATTCTACCTTATACTTTGGTTTCGTGATGTTCCTCAGCTGAACAAAGCCCCTGGTGCCGCTGTCTGTTGTCTGTACTGTCAGGGGTAACATTCTCTTCAGGGTTCAGTCTGACTAGAGGCATTTTCCCTTATTTCTTACTCCTCTGTCTGGTCACATCTGCCTGTTTGGTGCTACGAGGATGAATATAGCTCCACTTGTTGTCACCCTGTGACACTGTCGTCTTACCCTGAGATGCTTAGGTCATCTTCTAAGCGTAGCGTGGCTTCCAGGGTCCACTTCCTGGCATCTTGTTTTTTCTTTTTATGGAGTACAGCATGTCTTAACTTGTTACTTCGTATATTCAGTCTTTTTTATCATTTCAGAATTATTTATATGCTGTTTCTCCATTGGAAGTCTTAATGGGCAGGACCGTTGCTTCTTTGGTCTTTCCTAGGATCTAGCATACTGCTGGACATAAAGAGATGCTGAAAGGGTAAAGCAGCTTATTTGAGTGAAGGTTCAAATTGTCGTCTTGAGATTTTTTTTTCTCATTTGTTATTTTGAAGTGAAAATTATTGACACTTACATATATTTGCAAAACATACTTCATATTTTTCCATTGCTTTTGAAAGGTTCTCGTGCTGAGCAAGTGTTTTGTCAGCAAACTAGCATTTGATTTAGTGACGCATAGAGCACAGACTACCACCAAGAGTTTTGTCTATCATTTTAAGACAAAGGGTTTATAAGTTACTCTTTTCAATTGCTGTTTCAAAATTTTATCTATTAAATAGTTTATTATATATTTTTTTTGTTTTGTTTACTTTTTCCAGGACCAACAAATTCTTTGAAATACGTGCCCTTGGTAACAGGTCTGGCATCTGCCCGGAACTTAGAACACTTGGAAATGGTTCGAGTCCCTTTCCTGGGAGGTCTCATCCAGCATGTGGTTGAAGACAGCTGGAGATCAGGTATTCTTTTCTTTTAGTTACAAAACAGCTTTTAAAATTAGCTTTTGATTTTTTTTTAAGGCTTTGTTTAGTCACCTCTTATTTTTAAAATAATGCTTATAATTGTCTTTGCTTTTTTATGGTGTGTTTGATGATGAAGGTAAGTATTGTTGAGCTCAGGCTAATATTCTTTGTCTTTTTATTCATGTTAGACCTTTTCAAGAGAAGTGAAAGAGTAATAAGGCCAGTTTTCTAGTTTTTTACATATTAGTTGGTAAATAAGTAATACCTTCTCTTATATTGAGCTCTTTCTTAGAACTGCTGACTCGGTGACAAAACTTCTACAGCATGTTTAGCAGTATTAACCACATCTATGTTATCAGTGTTACTGGAGGGTTTCCATTTTATTATTTTTTTCATTTTACTTTCTTTTCCATCTTTATTAATAATTCATTAACTACGTTTCTAGTTTTAATTACTATTATCTAGATCAATTTTTTTTTTTTTAGCAATGAAATGATTAGCAAACTGTTAGTTCCCTCTCTCCTGCAGTGAAGGGGGTATTAAGAGTGAGTGTCTTTTCTTTCAAGAGCCATCACCTGACAGATGAACCTGATGTCCAGGTACCAGGCATGGAAACTTCCATACACTATAACAAATACCAGACACAACAGCATTACTAAAGCCTGAGCTCTTCTGGAGACCTGAGATGTCCAAGTCAGGGATTATCTCTTCTCAAAGGAAAATGGAGTTGGGTCCTAACACTGCAGTGATTTGTTCACACAGGCGGCATGTGTCTGTAACCCTATACCAGGAGGAGGAGACAATGCCCAGCCACCACAGCCAAAATGGCAAGTTCTCGCTTCAGTGAGAGAACCTGTCCTCAAACATAATGTGAAGAGAAGTAAAGGAACCTCTGGCTACCACGTGGGTGTGTGCACTGGTACACACACACACACACCCACACCCACACACAAAATTAATTAATTACAACAAAATTTGAAAAATCAAACTTGAAAATGAATTCAAATAGTGTTATCTTGTTCCATGATATCCTGGAGGTTCAGGATTTGGCCAGGAAGGGTCAGTCTTTCTGTACTTCCCTCATGGGTTTTCAGCATTTTCTTTGTTTTAAGTCTTGAGTGTTCAGACGCTCAAAGTGTGTTTTCACAAGAGAATCTGTTTTGGGGAAATAACTGCTAGAACTAGTTCACCTTAAGGCAATGTGGTTGCAGAAACACAGCATTTACCTTTAAACAAGTAATTATTTTCTAAGGCATGTATAACTTCTTTACCAAAAGTTCTCTGGTCAGAGAAATGCTTATTTTTGTTCCTTTTTCTCTTTAACCAGGCGGCTTTAGAAATTTGCACACCATTGTTTTAGGCGCTTGCAAGAATGCCCTTGAAGTAGATCTTGGTTACCTCATCATCACCGCTGCCCGTAGGTATGTTTTGTCCTAGAATTAGATGTTTTAGAAAACTTGGGGCTAGTGTATCTATCCATATTCGGTGTAGAATTTGGTCATGTCCTATTTGGATTTAAAATACAAAAGGACTACTTAAGTAGCAGATGGCATCACTTCATGTTTGTCTGACTTTCGAGCGGGAGCGGTGGAACTGCCCTCTAGGTTCATCAGTCCTAGGGCCGTATGGTATTGTGGCATAGGAAAGTGCCGCCTGAGTGTAGCGTGAATAGCAGTTAGTGACAGTGGTACCTGAAGCCTCTCTAGAACCATTTTCCATCTGTACTTGGTCTTCTGAGTTGTTTGAGCTGATGATATACTTCCTACTCAGAAATCTGTCTTAGAACGGCCTTTGCAGTGTTCTATGTGCAGAATATTTTAACATATCTTAGGTCCCTTCATCCTACATTAGCTATTTCCCAACTCTCAGCGGTTAGACTTACCACAGCCTGCATGTGTAATTCAAAACTCTGGCCAGTCACTTCTCACCTTCCACTGTGGGTTCTTTGGAATGACCTCGGGTGCTCCCTGAGTTCATCCACCAGCTCTGCTTTCTTACCTTGATTGTGCTTAAGGAAGTTCTTAGGGGGAAAAGGTTCTTGGGCAAGTTCTAGGATTCTAACTGTATGATTGATTGTTACTAATTGCAGAGCTAGAGCATACTGCCTTATGTGAGGCTATACTTGAAAAGAGAAATCTCGAAGTTTTGTTTGTTTGGTTGATTTTGTTGTTGTTTGTTTTTTAATTGAAAGAGGGGAACATTCTTGATACCTGTGGTAACTATAGTAAAATTATAAACTCGTTTTTGAGCTCTGTTTTCAGGAAGACTCTGATGCCATTGTTTTCATTTAACATGTTTTTCTATTTGTAGGTTACATGAAGTTCGCATCCAGCCTTCTTTAACCAAAGATGGTGTCTTTTCTGCCCTGAAGATGGCAGAGTTGGAGTTTCCCCAGTTTGAAACCCTTCATCTGGGATACGTAGATGAGTTCCTGCTGCAGAGTAAGAGATCATGTTTTATTGCCAGGATTTGCTGTGGGAAAAAATGCTTGATAGACTGAAATACTGAAATCTGAATATTGTGTGCCTTTCTTTTCTTTTCTAATAAATTACAGTTTATTCGCTTTGTATTCCAGCTGTAGCCCCCTCCCTCATCTCCTCCCATGCCCCTCCCCAAGTCCACTGGTAGGGGAGATCTTCCTTCCCTTCCCTCTGACCCTAGCCTGTCAGGTCTCATCAGGACTGGCTGTATTGTGTTCCTCTGTGGCCTGGTAAGGCTGTACCCTCCTCAGAGGCAGGTGATCAAAGAGCAGGACACTGAGTTCATGACAGAGACAGTCTTGTTCCTATTACTAGGGAGCCCACTTAGACACTGAGCTGCCATGGGCTACATCTCTGCAGGGGTTCTAGGTTATCTCCATACATGGTCCTTGGTTGGAGTCAGTCTCAGAAAAGACCCCTTTGCCCAGATTTTTTGGATCTGTTGCTCTCCTTGTGGAGCTCCTGTCCTCTCCAGGTCTTACAAGTATTTCCCACTTCTTTCATAAGGTTCCCTGTACTCTGCCCAAAGTTTGGCTGAGTCTCAGCATCTGCTTCGATACCTTGCTGGGTAGAGTCTTTCAGTGGCCCTCTGTGGTAGGCTCCTGTTCTGTTCCCTGTTTTCTCCCTCTTCTGATATCCATCCCATTTGCCTTTCTGAGTGAGGATTGATTATCTTATCCACGGTCCTCCTTCTTACTTAGCTTCTTTAAGTGTACAGGTTTTAGAATATTTATCCTATATTATATGTCTCATGCCCACTTATAAGTGAGTATGTGCCATGTGTGTCTTTCTGCTTCTCACTCAGGATGATTTTTTTCTAGTTCCCACCATTTGCCTGCAAAAAAAAAAATATGGAATGCTTCAGGAATTTGCGTGTCATTCTTGTGTAGGGGCCATGCTAATCTGTATTGTTCCAATTTTAGTGTATGTGTTGCTGAAGCAAGCACCTTGATTTTCTTGACCATAAAGCCGACCTAATAAGCGAAGTGCTTGCTTGTCCTGGAGAAGAACTCTTTTACTTCGATGTGCTGACTTCCTCTCCCATGTGCTGACTTCCTCTCCCATATGGTTTCTGGTGTTAGCATGCTATTAGGAATGTAGTGATTAATACTATGCCAAGAAAATCCTTATCTAGGTTTGCAGTTGTTTCCACACTACTGTCCACATTTCTTTCTAATTCTGCTTTATTTTTACAGAATGTCAATCATAGTTCCATTTGTTAAATTTGATCTGTTACATTTCTTGAACTTTTGATGGTCTCAGATGAGGTCCCATTCTTTGCTCATACTTTGCGTTTCCATAATAAGCCTGCTGGGGTTGTGGACTCTGCAGACACTGTGAGCACAAAGTGCTTTGTATCCATTGCTGCTAGCCTGTTAACATTTTGTGTATGCATTTACAAGTAAGAACTCATCCCTTGGGGTTGAAGTTAACTCAGTCAAATTAATTATTCCAACTTTTTCCACATGGCATTTATAAGATAGTTAAAATTTCTACCAACATATGTTTTCATTTTATCAAGAATTAATTTGTTTCTCAGATAATTTATAAAAAATCTTGAATGCATGTTTTTTGTGTTTTCTTTGTATCTAATTTGCATTATAGAACATACAAAGGTAAAAAATGGTTGACCACGTCAGCCTAGTCAAAGCATAGGACAGTCCTGGGCAAAGCACATGACTATGTTCCTCATTCATTTCGGCATAGGTTACAGTAGTAGCTTTTGTGCTTTTGTTTTTTTTTCTTCTTCATCATTGAGGTTCTCATTAGTATACATGTAGGATTCTTTTTAAAAAAAATCAAAGCACCCATTTCTAGACAATTTGTTGCCAGAACCACTTTGTGTAGCTTGAAAACTCTCGGGTTTTATCAGAACAGCATTAAGAAGCTAAGGTAGTATAATATAGAGTATAGTGGTTATTCAGCTTTTCTGTTTCTGAAAGAAGCTGCTAGTACCCTATGTTTCTGTAGCATCTGTGTACAGATGCCCCAAAGTCAGAATCTGTTCTTTGTAGGACTTTCTGCTCCTAAAAGCTCCTAACTTCCCTGTCTTCAAGGTAGCCACCTGTAGGCCTATGGAAGGGTTACCTAATGAGTTAAAAATCTCACTTTCAGGGGATAGGCAGATACTTCCTTCATTTGCAGTCAGTTACTGTCTTATTGTAGTTTTCTCCCCTCACCACATGTTTTCAGTAGGAAATAAACATTACTTTTTCACTGTTATTTCATACTTTGGATAGCAATGTGTTTGTTTCTTTCATATTTACTAGGCTCTTGGTGTTGGTTTTTTTAATAAGCCATTCCCTTCTTAGACCGTTCAGCTTGTTCTTATATGGATTCTCTGTTTCTCCAGAGACTTTCATGGGGTATTTCAGGATAAGTGTTAGGTTAGAGACCATCTTAAGAAGGATAAAAGCTAGGAAGCTGGCTCGGTAGGCGTAGTGCTTGCCAGGCAAGCATGAGGACCTGAGTTCAGATCCCCAGAACCCACATAAAGCTGTATGTGATAACATATCTAAGAATTTCAGCTGTAATGCCAGCTTTCCTTTGGCAAGGTGCAAGGTAGAGACAGGAGAATCCCTAGATATTCTCAGGACAGCTAGCCTGGCATTACACCACTGAACGACAAGAGATCCTGTCTTAATATAGAAGACAGGGACCTACACCAGAGACTGTCCTCTGACCTCCATGGCACACAGGTATGTGTCTTCTCACACACAAGACAGAAGAGAGAGGAGTCACTGTTCACTCTTGCTCTTTCACTTCATCTTCCTTCTTAATAATTCACATCTTGAAGCAGGAGAGTGAAGGAATGGTACTCTCTTGTGAAACTATTTTGTCTGGTAAAATAGATAAATGGAAACATCATCGTTGTCCTCTGGCTTTTATTAGGATTGGCAGTACCAGATAGGAAGTGATGAATGTGCTAAAAAGCTGATGCTGTGTGCTGGAAATAAAGATGGCTGGGATTCAGTGACCTAAAGAATACTTACAGAAGGAGTCTCTGTTTACATAGATTTGTTATCTCAGAGCTTATGAGAAGGTGGTCAGGATAGAAACTCAGTAACATAGACTTAAGTTCTAGAACTTGAGAGAGAGAGAGAGAGAGAGAATTGAGAGTTGCCTGTTGTTAGTCATAATATTGTATAAGATACTTAGGTACTTCCCTACTTTTCTCTTTAATGGCTCTAGGAGAACAAAATGATAAATACAGCCATGTTGGGTGGCACATACCTATAATCCTAGCATGTGGGAGCTGGAGGAAGGAGAATCAGGAGCTCAACATTATCCTTTGCTACATAACAAGTGGGACACAATCCTTAGCTCCATGAGACCATTTCCAAAATAAAACAACAGCAAAAAGATAAATATGTTTGTAGCAATCTCTCATACTTGAGGTATCTAGTAAATAGTGGTTTTTACCTTTAGCTGCCCTGAAGCTTAAAGAGAAAAGGAATAGAAATGAAATCCTAGTATTATCAGAATTTTAAGAATTAAAGCCAGTAGAGGTTTTAATTTTAAGAATTAAAATTAAGAATTTTAAGAATTAAAGCCAGTAGAAAAAACCTCAGGAGCAGGAATGAGTTGTACTACAGAGAGGGCCTTTGTCATTTTAGAGTGGAGCATTTATGTCAACAGCATCTGTAAAGAGGCCAGCTCAAGATTTCATTCATCGTAAGGGAAAGAGCAGTCTGCAAGTCCAAAGAGTAACAAGAAGGTTGATGTTTAGGATGGCATGAGATGACTTCTGCAAGAAATAGCAGTAAATAACTGAAGTTTACAACAATAGAGTGTGAACTATACAGAAAATAAACTTAGTAGTTCTTGGAATGAATGATTGGTTCACACATATTTCAAGCTAAAAATATATATTGCTGTATTGACAGTTTCACCAAGAGCAACTTAGTTTTCTTTATAGGATTGTTGAGTTAATTTCAAGGACTACAGTCTGTGTGTTTGTGTGTGTCTGTGTGTGTCTTAGATTCCTAGTACTACCCTACACACTAAGGATACAATTGAACTAAACACACCATCCTTCAAAGAGCTCTTATGTTTAAGTTAACTATCCTGGAGAGTGAGGACCAGCCATACAGAGGAGAGAATGATGATAAGCAAGAGATGAGGTGTGGTTCCCAGTGGCACGATTAAGGATGATTTACATCCACCCCCTAGATTGTAACCTGACCGATGGCATATGTCTGAGTTAGAATCCAATTCAGGGGACAGTAGCCTGTTGTAAAAAGTTACTAATATTTACTATGGGTTTAACTTCTGGTAACGCTGCTGTTAATCCTCAGCGGCTGTATAACCAAATCACCACACAGAGACTGGGTTTTTAGTTAACCTAGAACACAATGCTGGGTAATATTTACTCCCTCCTAAACCTCCAAGCCCTCAGTTTCCTAACATTTAGATTTCCCACATTTTACTTGCTTTTTGTGAAATCTTAGGTCTGGTTCATGCTTTAAGTCCTCCAAGCTCTCTCCTCCCGCTCTGCTCTCCTCGTGCTCTCCTCGAGCTCCTCCTCCTTCTCGCCCCTTCCTGTTCTCTAGCTCCTCCCTTCTTTCCTGTCCTCTGGCTCCTCCCATTGCACAACATTGTATCTAGTTGCTTTATTTTGTCCTGTTTACACAAGAGTTGAGACAGGATGCTTATAGTGAGTATCACAATGCAATATCCAGATTGAAACCAGAGAGCTGGGGGTGGGGAAATCAGCATTTGAATTAACAAGGGTAAGGCATATACATTTTAAAAGAACATTATACCAACAGTAGACATCTGTCTTCACCTATGTAATGGGCTCCAAAGTACGATCTGATCCTAATTTCGCATGGCGTTATATCAGAGTTCAAAAACTTGATCTCTCTGTGTGTCTGTATGTGTGTGTATGAAAGGGTTTCATTTTTATGATATTTTTTTCTTTTTAAGAGATAGTTGTATGAACCATTACATCTCTCTGTTGCAGGATATTTGATCCCATTGTGAACCCCAAAATTGTAAACTGTAAAGCCTGTTTATTTCGTTTGGTTGAGCCCTAATACACACCTTTAATCCAAGAGCTGTTTGTATATAGAATCTAATAAAGTTAGATCCAAGAACTGTCTGCATTCTAAATCTAATAAAGTTGACCATAGGTCAAGAGGCAGTGCAAGAAACCAGCTGACAAGGATTAAAGAGTAGGAAGGACTCTGTGTTGAGGGGTATTAAGACAGCTTGGAGAAGAAGGAGCTTTAACTCAAGCTCTGGCTTTAGCTTAGGCTTCAGCTCCTCAGCTTTCTGGCTTTTTGGTGCTTTGAACTAGCAAGCCTCTGGCCTTAGGGTTTTTGGGCTTTTACTCCTGGACTGTAAGTTGAGCTAGTGAGCCTTTTGGGCTTTTCCATCCAGATCTGAGCTGAAAAGGAAGGTTAGCTGGTTACTTTCTCTGCCTTTCTGAGATAGCAGGTTTTCACCCCAGTACCTGGCTCCTGAGTCTATTGGTAAAATAGTATGATTGGGATTTTCATCTCTCAGTTATGCTTTTTTCTCTTTCTAAACAGTTAAATACATTTATTAACTATTAGCTATTCTTTGACTTGTAAAAATCCTTGTTTGTATGAGAATGCTACCATACATGCAGAACACTGACTTGAAACTTCATTGAAGCCAGCCGGATGATGACCATAGATGGAACAGAACGGTTTAATTAAATGGAGCGATAAGATACGGAATTGACAACACTCCATGATACTGAGACTTTCTTTGACATTTCTTTCTTTCTAGGCAGAATGGCAAATGCAGACTTGGTGAAGTATGGTTTGGCTGATGTGGTAGAAAATCCTGGTATCATCACCGATATAGGGATGAAGGCAGTCAATGAAGTTTTTTCCTGTATCAAATATCTGGCAATTTATAACTGTCCCCATCTACACAACCCATACAATTGGATTTCAGGTACTGTAAACTTAGA